CCTCCAAAGCCCAAAGCCCAAGTAACTAGAGAAATGAGATACAGATTTGGGTATGAGTTATGGTCACTAGTCATTCAAAGAGGTAGTTCCTGATCGTCAAGTGTCAGTATACCTGACATGAACACACACGCACACACACACACACACACACACACACACACACACATACTTGCCTGGAGTAGACTGTGTCAGCTGCATCAAAGAATAAATACTCTTGCTTGTAATTCCCAAGTCAGGAAATACTATCAAAACATGCATACTTCACTCTTTCTGACCTAAGTGGGAAGCACTGGCCTCACTGGTCAGCAGTCAGCTAGACAGAAGCAGCAGGCCCTTTCAGGTGGGGCCCCAGTTACCTAGGGTCAAGCATACATAGCATCTGGTCTAATTCTTGGTATACACAGTTAACAGCTGTGCACCTAAAAAAGTTCCTGAGTTGTAAGATTTAGGTAAGGTATGGTGACTACTCTCAGAAAGTTAAAGATGGTAAACCACAAATACAATATGAAAAAAAAAAATTACCTAACAAGGAAGGGAAGCTGAAGTGACTTGCTTTGTCTCAGGGAACAATTATTTTGTTTATGATGGTGGTTGTTGTCTGGTTAACTTTTTTTCTTTTTTAGACAGTACCTTACTATGTAGCCCCAGCTGGCCTGGAACTCATGACTAGGCTGGTCTTGATCTTATGGCGATCTGACTGCTTCTGCCTCCTGAGTGCTGGGATTAAATATGTGTGAAATGATACCCAGCCTGGTTAATATTTTAAATCAGAATGTACATTCTAGGCTGAAGAATATATGGCATCATGATTCAATCCAGTGTGCCACATAACCACAGTAGCCTGGTACTCCTAAAGCATAATAAATACCTACATGCAAGAGAGTCATCCTGGATTCTAGAGGACTAGAAGAGTAATAAAACATAGTTCATGTTCAAGCATTCACAGAAAAGTCAAGGTCTAGGGCTCAAACTAGGCTAAAAGAGATAAGGTAGAAGGGAGAGCTCAGAGAGCTATGGAGAGGTTTAGTTCACTATCACAGACACAGGGAGCTACACAAATGGCCTCAGTCCACAGAAGCATCTAAAGGTGAAGACCAAATGGCCATTTCAACCCAACGTACATTTGACTATGGAGCATGAGGAGACAAAGATCAGTACTGTACGATCCCTACGGTTTAAGGATTTCACAGCTTTAGCATAAAGAGGCAAATATGTTAAAGTATTGCCACCTTGTATGATGAGGAAAGAACAAAAGTTGTCAATTCTGAGTACCCTGAAAGAAGACAGGAGGGTCCTAGTCATATCTGGCAGAGGTATGCAAAGGTAATAAAGGCAAGACACATGGTATTTGGAGAGATGTTGTGTCATGTTGACTGAGGCATGACATACATGCAACTGTGATACAGGAGGACACAGATGAAGGCCCAAGATCATGGTGGGCCTCTTACAGATAAAGCAGGAAAGAAGGGGTTGGGGAGATGGCTCATCACTGACTGCTCTTACAAAAGGACCTGGGTTTGATTCCCAGCACCCACATGTCAGCTAACAACCATTAGTAACTCCAGTTCCACAGGAATCTAACACCTTCTTCTGACCTCTACGTCATGGATGCACTTGCACACATGCAGGCAATACACTTATACACATAAAACAAAAATAAATAAAAAAATTTTTTTTTAAAAAGCAGCAATAAAGCAAAATTCTTCAAATGTCAAGAAATAAAAAAAAATCTACAGATGTGCTGTCCAATATACTAGCGACTACCTACATGGAACTTCCAAGCACTTTTAATGTTAATTTTAATTCATTTCAATTGTAAAAGCTACCAGTACCTAAAACAGTAAGCAGCACTGACCTATTGCACATGTAAAGAGAATTTTCTTGCTCTGGAAGAACAGTGTGTATCTCCCATTATGAAAAGAAGAAATGAAGGCACAGATGTCTGAAAGTCAGGGAAGGAGGCACAGGAAACTGAGAAAAACTCAAGACAATTGTGATGATAACTATGAAGTTAAGAGGCAATAGGGATGTCCAAGTCTTACAAAGCAGGGAGAGCTTAAAACAGCCACACAGAAGAATGGAAAAGGGCTATGACAAAAACGACTGCCAAGGTCAAGTTTCAGTTGTGAACTATAAAATTCACAATCATTTTCAAAAATAATTTTTAATGTATTCTTTGGCCATTTCATACATGTATATAATGTATTTTGATCAGAATCACCTCCCAATCCCTTCTTGTATCCCTTCTTACTTCCTCTGGAATTCTTCTTATTCCCAACACATCTCCCCCTAGTTTAATGTCTACAATAAAACAAAATTTTAAAGCTATAAAGGATATTGTTGGGCTACTTGACTGATAAAGCTGGATATATATGATAAAGTAATACTATTGCATAAACATTAACTAAACTCCTTGATTTTGATAACTTAATCTCACTATGTAAGAGAATATTCTGTTGTAAAGAAGCACAATAGAATACTTAATTGTACTTAGGAGTAAACGTTTCCAGCTGAAAAATGATTCACATGTGCATAAACATACTCAGAGTATGACACAGCAGGCAAAATGAGAACCAAGGATCCAAAAGGACAAACATGAGAGGAAAACTGTTGAACTATTCACACAACTTCTATATAAGACTGAAATAAAATCAAAACAAAAAATGTTTACTTGAATACAATCTTTTAAAGTTACAGAAAAATTCATAAGCTGTGTCAAAAACATAAACACATGTGATTTTCCTCTAGCAGCTAAGATTTAGAGCAGAGTAGACAGTAAAACTGGCCATAAACATTACATACCAAGAGTACTGGGAAGAAATGTGATTCAAGAGGGAATCAGGGGCTAAAAGATGAGACAAGAAGCTTTAAGTTTTAGGAGAGTGAGAACTGGAAAGGTGAGGTGCAAGGCTATATCCTGCTAGAAAGGCAGAGCATTTGCATTCATTATGAGCCCTGTTAATAGTCATTTAGGAAATGTCAAATTAACTCCACGGTGAGATATCTGTTCTATATCCACTAGAATGATTGAAATTTAAAAATCTGATCATAACAAGTACTTGTAAGAGAAAGCAATTTTAGTATGTTACCAATGCAAGTGAAAGAAAAACTGTTTAGTAATGTCTTATAGTTATCTTATGACCAAACAATTCCACTTGTAGATCTCTACACAAGAAAAACAAAAATATACCACATATACAAAGATTTATATATAAGCACTCCTAAGTTATTCACAACAGCCCAAAGCTAGAAGTAAAGTAGGTATCCACAGATGAATGGATAAACAAAATGTGGCATGTACATACACAACAGAGAACAATTAACCCTTGATAAGAAATGAAGTTTGGACACAAGTCACAACATGAATGAGTCTTGACTGTATTAAGCAAAATAGGCCAGCGACAAAAGGGCAAGTGTTGAATGCTTTGAATTATAATAAGTACCTAGAACGGACAACCTTGCAGACTGCTAGTAAAACACTAGCTACCAGCAACCACTGGGAGGAAGGACTGAGGAGTTACTGATTAATGGGTATAATTTCAGCCAGAGATGACTTTAAAGGTTCTAGAAGGGTGGGGTGACATGTTCTTTATAATCTGAGTCCTTAGGCTGAAGCAGGAGGATCCTTGAGAATAGGAGTTGGGGGTGAAACTGAGAAACACTGACTCTTAAAAAAAAAAAAGAGGGGGGGGGAGAAAAAAGGCTTGAGGATAGTGTGATGATTATACAACAATGTGAGTGTTGATATATCTAGTTAAAAATGATTCAGGAGCTAGGCATGTAGGTCCCAGGTAGAGAACTTCCCTAGCTGACTTACAGCCCTGGGTTAGATACTCAGCACTGCAAAAATGAGTGAATGTGTCTGATACAGTGTTCAATATAGGAGTTATAAGCAATGAATCAATTCGCCTAATTCTGTTTTTACTACATCCTTATGTTGAAGCCTTCACAGCTCATTATGGCTTAATTTGTATATCCTTGGTACCCTAGGAAACTCTTCCCTACCCCAAGAACTAGAGGAGTGAGGGAGGAGCTACTAGAAAGTGAAACAGACGGCATCTGCTAACCAACAAAACTTTGGTTGGAGTAAACTAAAACATGCCTTTTATTTTCCCAAATGCATCACTATTATTTTCTCTATTTTACCATTTCAGAGCTGCTCCTTTTCAGGAGAAAAAAACAACTTTTGCTTTACAATAAAAATGTTTAGAGGAGAAGGCTCCCTGTTACTAGACAGTTGTTATGTAGCCTTCCCTCCAAGGTAAGGTTGGGCTTGTTAAGACACAGGCTCTTCTAAAGGGAGATGAAGCATCCATCCAGAAGGGATGTTCATTAAGCTCAGAAAGTGAACAACTCAAATACTTTAGGAAGTTCCTGTACATGACAAGATACCCTAGCTTATATAAAATATATACCCTCCCCAAGCTTATATAAAATAGTAAAGAATGCTGAGAGACACTCTCAGAGCAACCACACTGCCTGGAAGTAGAGGAGACAGTCCAATCTGCTGAGCTGACTCCATGTTGGGCAGTGCGCTCTTCGTTTCCAGCTTTCATGAGCTGTCTGTCACCCATGTGCTGGGGTGGCTTTTAGTGATGCAGTTGCTTTTGAGTCATTTCTGCTCCTGTAACCAACCCTTCACCTACATTCCTGTAATCACCCCCAATAAAACTTACTGGTTCACCAAGTTGGATTTCGGTGGATCCTTATTTCAGGCTGTTTGGGGTGAACAGACTTTTGTTCACATCACTCAGGAGTGTCACACAACAACAGTAACAATTCATCAAGGCATGTTGGATCTTCCTTATTCTAACTTTCTGGTATCTTGGCCTAAAAGTCCTCTTCCTCTCTGATGAGATGCTACAGCAGTAATTTATACACAATTTGGCATTTAGTAATATTCAGTACTGACTTACAGAATAGGAAAGGCTCATATTCTCTAAATTTACCAGAAAACATGAGTTTCCTTCAGAAAACCTAACAGCAGTTTGCAAACTCACCTGACCAGGTAAGTAGTGGTAGACTACCTAAGGTCTCTGCAGACAACTCTGTGGAATATGCTGAGTGCTGAGTACTGTGGGGCCGCCAGCAATCTAGAAAAACAAAGCAGGAGGATCACACCTGAGGCCAGCTTGGGCCACATAGTCAAACCCTACCCAAAGAGAATTTGCTACCAAAACAAATTTTAAACAATAAGACATTCTCAGTACATGTTTCTTATTTGGTTATAAATTTTTCAATAAAAAATTTAACTAGTTTAACAAAGCCTCTGCTTTCATAATGGGTAACTCATGGATATGTACTATAACTCTTTATCTCCAACAGTGATTAAGAATCCACTCCCTTGGGCTGGAGAGATGGCTCAGCAGTTAAGAACACGGGTGGTTCTTGCAGAAGACCAGGTACGAATCCCAGCACCCACATGGCAGCTAATAACTGTCCGTAACTCCAGTTCCAGGGGCTCCAACAGCCTCTTCACACATACACATTAAAAAAAAAAAAAAAAAATCCACTCCCTCTTTAATCCCAGCACTCACTCAGGAGGCAGAGGCAGAGAGATCTCTGTGAGAAGGAGGCCAGCTCTGCTGATACAGAGTTCCATGCCAGCTGTGGCTACAAGAGACCCTGTCTTAAACGTATTTATTGATCATACCCATTTTCCAAAGTTCTAGTCACTTACCTTGTCTGTGTATCAATTTCTTTCAAAGCTACAGATAAAAAAAGCTATTTTTTTTGTTGCTCAATGTAGAGTCTTTTGTTTTATAAATATAAACACTATTAGGTAGATGGCAGAGGAAGGTAAAAAGAAATGATTTGAAATTTTAAAAAAGGATTTGGAATAATTTTAATTTGCCACGCACTTTTTCTTTTTTGATTTACTTTTTATTTTTTGTGAATGAGTGTCTTGCCTGCATGTACATAGGTGCACCTGTGTGTGCAATGCCCATGGAGGCTAGAAGAGAGTGTCAAATCCCCTCCTGAAGTTACAGACGTTGTTAGCCACTATGTGGGTGCTGGAAACTGAACCCAGGCCCTCTGTCTAGCCCCTGCATCTCCTTTTTATGTGGTATTAGTTGATGCAATTTTTGTAGCAATGTCTTCATCTGATACAGAAGAGCTAGTATGCAGCCTCGTCTGCCCCACAATATGTGACTGAGTAAAGCTGATTGCCTTGTGAGACCAAAGCAGATACTTTACACATCTGGATGTACAACAGACCTTTACACAAGGTTCAGACTAACCGCTATTGAAGGAGTCATTAGCATTTCCAACAGGTCAGATAAAGTGCTTTCACACTCTGCCTAATCTTCCTCTAACACAGCTCTGACTCAGGCTTTTATTAAATGTGAGGAATTCAACAGTTTTGAAATTCAAAGCAGGCCACATATGGAAAACCACCTTTACACTTTTCCTATGTCTCATGCTTCTTTATTTTATTAAGGGGATGCTAAAGTCTCATATCTTTTATGGAATGGTTCCCCCAAAATATCAGCAATGCTTTTTTGAAATGTTTATTTTCCTTACAACATTTTTAGACTTAGGTAGAAAGTTGAGCCTGTCTAAAGGGAAGAAATGTAAATAGCTGGTTAAAGATGATAAAGCAGTAAGATGCAAGCAAGCATCAGTTTAGAAAGACACAGCTCACCCAGGTAAGGTATCTCAAGCCTATAACCCCAGACACTCAGGAGGTTGAGGCAGGAGAGCTGCTGCAAATTCAAAGCCACCCTGGGCTACAGTGAGACCCTGTCTCAAATTAAACAAAAGCAGCAAGAGAAAGAACTTTGGTCTCAATTCCATTGTGATAGCTACTCTCCAACTAAGGCAATTTTTGACAATTAGCAGCCTTTTAGATGTTCAACAGCCTTTAAAGTTATTTAGGAACTCTCAGAGTTACCTGGCATTATTATTCATCCTAGTTAGCTAAGTTAAAGTTCAAAGGCAAAAAGGAATCCCTAGCTAGTCCAGACTGCACAGTAAACATTGCATTATACTTGCCAAAAATGGGAGTACAGATCAGTTAAGTGGCTATTTTAATAATCTAAGCAAGAAATCTGTGTGGCCTGTGCTAAGGTGAGGAAAAAAAGTTGATAGATTCTAGATAGCTACAGGTCTACAGTTAAGACTATGGCTTATTGGAATAACAGAGAATGATACCTATGAAACTCCATCACTTTCTGGTAAAGAGAAACATTTGCAAAGGACACAAAGCTCACAGATACGAAGCATGGTACTGTTAAGAAACTCAACTTAGGAGAAGTTTCAAAAAGTTGTAAAGAATATTAAATGTTCCCAGCGGGCATGGTGGTGCATGGCTTTAATCCCAGCACTCTGGAGGCAGAGGCAGGTGGATCTCCGTGAGTTCAAGGCCAGCCTGGTCTACATAGTGAGTTCCAGGACAGCTGGGGCTACAGGGAGGCCCTGTATCAAAAGACCAAAAACAAAAAAACAAAAAACAAACAAACAAACAAACAAAAGAATATTAAATGTTAAGTACAGGACAAAAATCCACGAGGGGGAAAAAACCTAGGAACCTGCATAGGGTAGGGGGAAATGTACAAGGAGGAACAGATCAATCTGCTCTCTTCTAGCAAAACACCACTAACCATAAACTGTTTCAAGTCAATTCTAATCCATTTGTCCAAACAAAGAAAACTAAATTCACCAAATTCAGACATCAGCTCAAACATAAGTACTTCCTAAGTTATCAACAAAAAACTTATCTCCGGGGCTGGAGAGATGGCTCAGCGGTTAAAAACACCAAGGGCTCTCGTGGAGGACCAGGGTTCGATTCCCAGCACCCACATGGTGGCTACAAACCGTCCTTAACTCCAGTTGCAGGGGAATCTGAAGCCCTCTTCTGACCTTCATGGCATTGCACAACACGGTGTACTCACATACATGCAGGCAATACACTCATACACATAAAATAAAATATTAAAAAAAACTTATCTCCTAAAACACTTACCTACTTTCAAAAAGAAGCCAGACAAGACATTTCAAAACTATGTAGTTCATCTACTATACAGAACAAAGAAACCTCATTAATAATAATATTGTTCAAGATTGTCTCAAGTTTTACCATTTTATTATCCATTACATTTTTTCCTTATGAGGAAAAAAATCATTATTCCTCTGAATCACCTAACAGTAGAGATTTGATTGTACTTCACACACCTTTTTAATTTTTTTCCTCCATTCTAAAAGAATAAATACAACTATTGCTTTTCTTATCTTTTCTCAACATCTAGGTCAATTTAAGAATTCTCTTCTCCCTGTAGAAAACTGACTTTTACTCGTCCCCTGAAACCGATGAACTATGAGGACACTCCCTGCTTGTCAACCAGAGACCAATATAGTAGAGATGCAGTAGAGAAACCATTAAAGATAATCGTTTCTCAAAGTTTTAGTGTTCCCCGGAGCACAAGAATAGGTAAATCTTTACCTAGAGTACCTATTAAAATGTAATCATCAGCCAAAGCGTAAGTGACTTTTACTAAAATTATTATGTACATATAATTATCTTCATCTCTACTTGATGTAGTAAGGTTAAATTTTGTTAAGAAAGTCAAATATATCTCCTCTAATTCAGAGTAAGGGAAATACTTATAATAGAAATATGAAAACAAGTTTTTCTCTTCTACTGTAAACATGAGAAAAATCAAAGTGTCTGGAAAGGCTCACCATCCATAACAAAAGTAATGGACATTAAACACACACACACACACACACACACACACACACACACACACACTAAAGCCCAATCATGTACAACCTTCTTCAGAATGTTTTTTCTGAATCCCCCTTTCCTGGAAGCAAACATGACAAGCATACCAATATATGCTGTGAAAAAAGTGATTCTAATTTATCAGTAAATTCAAAGAAAGGTTTACAGAAAATAAGTTAATTTACAATGCAAAATGAGATAGACTAGTTCAAGATCATACATGTTCCACTGTTATCATGAATGAGTTAATAGTGTAGTTCATGCTTATATCCCTATCACATGAGTATTTTTGAATTTGGCTTTAAAACAACTCTTAAAATTTATTCTCCAACATTAGTCCACAAAATCATAATCCAGATACAGCATATTCTATCTAACCAACCAGCTGAGAGTACACAATCAGCACTCTTCACCAAACAAAGCCTGCCCTTAAAGACAGAGATGTGTCTGGAACAGCTGTGTGTATGTACAGTTATCTTTTTACCTCTAACCAAAAACCTATGAACCAGAGAAGTGCTGACATATTCTAAAACCTAGAATTATATAAATTTTGCTTCTAAAGTATATTTGCAATAACTCAAAATGCAGAAATACAGTCACAAAGGCTATTTATTACATGTTCAGAGACAGGTAATGATAACTGTTCTACTTCAGGGCCCTCTCTAAAAATGTTCCTGATACAAAAATGTTCGTTTTGGGATATGCTTTCAGAGGCAGCATATGCTAAGGAGAGCTGGCACCAACAAAGCCAGTGTGAAATATTAAGCCTTGTACCTGCTGAGTGATACACTAACAGCCAACAAAGATACACAACTGCTCACTAAGGTAGGTAAAAATGTTCCCAATTTCCTTCAGCTAATTTTAATATCCAGAAAATGGAATTAGATCCATCTGTATACTGGAAAATGGAGTTTAAAATAGACTACTTGTTTAGACAAAAACTAGCCAACAACTCAGAGCTCCAGAGGTTCAGTGTAATAGAAAATCAAGGGGCTACTCATCAAGGAATTCTGAAGATGTCCTCTGGGCGGCAATAGAAGTGATTTTTGGAAAGCAATTGGCTTTCCAAAATAGTGTTAACATCTTTTCATCTAGGTAAGCCTGTTCCAGGAGATTTTTCTTCCTGAAGGAATATTTTATGAAAAAGTAAGTATTTAAATACAGAAATATGTTCACTGCATTAGCATTTAAAATAATGAAAATTCAGAACACTCTGATAAAAGTGTCTGAAAGAAAAAGACTAGATTAGCACACACCAACTTCAGAGGACTGGATGGCTACCTGAACGGGCAGTTTGAACATGAGTGTCTAGTGAAAAAAGAAGCTGTACTTACAACTAAGCGACAGAATATAAGTGACAGAAGATGA